GATCGGCTTTCCGCCGTCTAATCGAACAGCGCATTATTTGGCATTATTTCAAACCGGATTCGGCATCAGAAAATAGACGTTGCTTGCAAAGGGGGAGGGGATTGCTTCTATGTAGTAAAACAACAGTAAACAGCATTAAAATAAAAACCGGCACCCAAGTACCAGATTTAATTTCAAACTCATTAAGACGCAATTTTAATTAATTAATTTTAAGCTGCGCTGATATTTAAAGGCAATACCAATTTATTGTTGTAATTTGAAAATATCAAAAATATTTCAAGCAAACAAAATTGATCTGCAAAGCTTTTACAATTATTCAATTATTTAATTTATTTACCTTTTTAGGTAATTAATTCGTTAGAAATGAATCAAATAATACAATATTTTATCTTATTCAGAGCTAGGGCTGCGAAAACAGCTGTTCGCTGAGCTCAGTGCAGGAAGAAGAAGCGTGTTGACTTCAATTGTGCAAAAGCTGTTTGCTATGAAATCAACACTTTCTAATAGTGATGATCACACAAGCAATTGTTTCCGAATTTAACTTCTAGGTTTATTATTTACTTCTTTGTAAATCAATAGATTTTTTATGGGATGGCCATAAACATCAGTCCTTCGACCTCCCCCCAATTAGATTAACTTTTCAGGTTTATAGTATATAGTAGGAGATGTTTTCAGAGCCAACTAATATTCCATAAAGTTTTAGACGTTTTTCATTGAAATGCCTCAATATAGCTTTGCTGCGGAACATCTTTTCCGAGGCCTTAGCTAAGCACTATGGGCATCAATTAATGAGATTATTCTGATCTTTCTTCGAAGATATTTTCGTTTTGGAGACTAATATACTTGCAAAAAGGTTTTTAAAAACACTTTTATAGTTAAGTTGATGAAGAAATGGTTGTGATTAGAATTCACATATCGAATAAGATTTATCGATGATAAAGAAAATGAAAAACCTATAGTTGAAGAGATTTAGAAGCGTTTACAAAATTTATTTAAAATAAAGCGATTACTATATACATATATGGAAGAAACTTGCGCCTATATATGACCCGATGTGTATATTCTACGATATCTAAAAACCCATGCTGCTTTCGTGTATTTAATCGAAATAAGTGTAGGGCCAAAGTCAAGATGATAATTAACATTTGGAAGGTTATAATCAATGATTATTATGGATGGCGACTCAAATGTGAAACAATCGAAGCTATTAATAGCGACGATTACAGTTGCTGTTTCATTTTTTTCTCCTTTTGTTGAATGAATTTATGAGAGGCACGCGCTCAATGTGGCATAAAACCACAACAACCGGTTGATGATGACTACCGGCACTCTACTCTACACACACACACACACGAAAGATAAGCTCAACCGTCACTCCGGAATGCAAATCGCTATTCCGACACACACACACACACACACTCGAGCATACATTTTTAAAATACAATCACATGACTAACTTTTTTTTTTTTTACTTTAGTTTCGTTTTTGAAGATCTTAAAACTTATATGGCATAGTAAAATATTTATAACTGGTTTCTCGCTTGTGAATGTTGTAGCTTCTCCTGCTTTACACAATAACTTAGATGATGCTGAATTGTGATTTTGTTTTCTAAGCTGCCAATAATCAAATTAAGAGCCTCTAAGGTTCATTGGGGCAGGGCTCTATTCGTTAAAAAATATACTCTAATCATACGATTAGAATAATACATTTGTATTTCCAATCAATCACAATCTTTTTACTGACCCCAAAACTGATCTTTCATCAGTATTTCAAATTCAATATGATCGCCAACAGTAATAAACGTCTATCTTTCAATCAAATAATAAACACCAAGTTACCTAAGATTAGGTCGAACCTAATGGATCATCTATTAAAAGAATCACGACTTCGTAGAATCGTTTGCCCAGATAGTGGGTTCATTTTCTTTGAGAAGCAGGAACTAGGGCATGCTTTATTCCAATTTATTGTCTTTGCTCTCATATTTAATTGTAAGGTAGTTTCAATAAATAATACTTTTTATTTTTATATCTTTATTATACCTTTATTTACAAAAGATTACCATCCTACATTTGAATATTTTTCCCCGACTGTTTTCTCTTTAAATATGTTAAAAAAATTTGGCGAAAGCTCATATCGGGCAATTCAGCTTGTTTAGAAGTGCCTGCACACCAATTTTGGTAAACTCAAGGCATATAATTTCGGAGATCCAAGCGTTCATACAAACAGACGTATGAACTGACGAAGCCTTCCCGAAAATTAAATAGGCTCAAAGCTTCCACAAACAAAGCAAGGCACTACTGTCGTCCCCAATTTGTGGCTATGCGTGTGGCGTTGACAAAGACATGCTATAAACTTTTTCTTTGACCTTAGCTCTTCCACTTTCCAAGATCTAGAAGTTCATACAGACAGACGTATGAATGTACGAACCTACGCAGATAGACCCCACAGCTACAGGTTGCATCACGTGCTCAAACGAACAAAGAAATTTGCTGATCATCAAATTGATGGATAAAAGGCAATTCTCGAGTCAAATGTTTTGCATGCTCTTCGAGTGATGGGTAAGAGGCGGCCGACGGCTATTTGCACATTGTTCAAGAAACAAGAACTTTAAGTTGGTGATCATTCTAAAACGGAAGCACAATCATGTCGGCTACCGAGTTAACGGATGCAAAGTGTTTAGTACTTAGATAACCTCTTGAGTTAGTTGAAAACCGCCCTCGGCTGAGTCTAATAGATGCTAAGTGGTGATAATTTTGTATTTCCCCATATACTATGTTTATAAATAGTATAAAAATTAAATGTGCATGTTGTTATTGTTATTGGAAATGATTAATAATGAGGAAACAATTTGTTAATGTGCTCCGAACACACTGATAAAGAAGAAGAATTTATATACGTACTCGTATATACCTATGTTATGTGTGGGAGATAAGAGCTGTGAATTTTTTGTTCTTCCTCAGAGATTGTCAACAAAAACTGCGCCTCAAGCAAATATCAATAAATATTTGGACCAAATTTGTAAGAAAAACGTAAATAAAAAATGCATCATAAAATTTTGTCGAACTAGACTTTATAATTTGTTGAACAAATAATTTTCGCAGACGAACTATGAAATGTATTTGAGAGAAAATTAGTCATAAAACGTGCTTCTCTAATTAGTGTTAGGGGTATTGTAAATGGGCATTATGGGCACGCTTATGATTCAGACAAGGTGAGAAAACGTGCTCCAAAACTTACGCAAACTTGCCTAGAAATACACCACGACCCAAGGCTTTCAAAGAAATGCAAAGTCTAACATAAGTGTGGAAGTTGATTGTTCAAAGACATATGTATATGAATATGTTTGCATGTATCGTATTTGATGATAATATTCCGAAATGTGGTGCCATAAAAATAGCCTTTTAAAATGCTTGACATTGCAAAGTAAAGTAAAGTCGTTGAAACAAATTTGCATATCAATTAAGTAGGTTTGTTTTCGCTTTGCTGATATTAGAGAAGGAATGTGGTTAGACAGTAAAAAAATACAAATTATAATAAAAAATGGGGGTAGACCGACAGAACGAACAGGCAACAATCGCTCACTTGTGGGCCGACCTGCTATATGAGACTTCGAACGAGGTTACAACATATTGTGGCTTTCCTGTTACTTCACATTTGTGGGTCTGTGGGTTAATGTTTAGTCTTTGAGTTGAAGAATTTAAATAAATTACAGAAGCACTTCAGCGCACCATGACTTTGGCCGCCGTTGGATCTAGGTTTAAGGGTTTCATTTTATTTAATTATAAGGTAAAAATTAAAATAACTTTGGTCTCAAGAATAATTTCAAAGAATGCAGCTTATTTTATTTTTTTCATCAAATTAAGATGAAAGATCATCGGATGAAAAACGCAGATTTTTGATACGACTTTTGGAGCTCATTTTCCCCCATTTGAAGAGCTAATTGTCTAATTACTGTGAACGAATACTTTTATTCAAATTTCAGCTGCATTGATCACTAATCAGTCTGATAGTCACTCAGAAGATTTGTTCCAGTCTCCGAGGAGATTTTTTTAATTCCCAATATATATTCGGTTTGCAATTGTAAGCAATTGTTAGCTAATAGATGAAGTTTTTATATCAATATATGAAACGTTGTGGTTGAAAGATATTGAAGATGGTTTCAACGCTTGTGTAAATACTTGTACTTTTATTCTAAGAGATTTAAGTTAACGAGCTGCTAGAAAAACTTCTCAAGAATTTAAATCGTTATATGTAATTCATTCATTTCACAATTGTAATAGTTTCTGAGTACTTTTATATCAAATATATGATGACTGAGTTTCCCTTTAAGCCATGGTCAGACAGACAAATAATTTGTACACAAATTTGTAGCAGTTTTTAAATGTTTTAAAACAGCTTCGTTTGCAGAACTTTTCATAGCAGTTTGTGTAACATTGCACAAATTTGAGCGCAAATTATTTGTGTGTCTGACCACAGAACATTAAAAAGCTGACTTCTTGGCAAAAAATAAATTAAACGAAACAACGAATTTTAATGCTCGCCTTGTTTTAATGAGCCAATGCTATGATAATGAAAAAGTTATGAATTTTAATTAAAAGGTCTTTCAATTAATGGTTATAAGTATACTTGGGTGCAACATAAAAAACCAACTAACAAGTGCTTGAAATTGGAAATTCATACACGCATTGTTTTGGTTTGTTTTGGTGAATTACAGAAACGGTGCAGAAAATTGAATATTAGTGGAGTTCGGAGAAGACTACAACAACAACAAAATTAAATAAAAACAAAAATAAACTAAACACCAGCGAGCTAAAGAAATCAAAAAGATATACGATTTCAACATTTTCACAAAAGTTTCGATTGGTATTCGGTTTTTGTTTTTCATTTTTCATCAAACTTGTGCTGACACAACACATTTAGGTGGTGATGGATAGATTGGTGGTGGTAGTGGTGGTATTTTGGTGGGAGAAGAAGAATTTGTAATTAAATTAAATCCTAACCTCGCCGCCCAACATTTCCAAATCATGCGATGCGGCATGCGATGCCGTTTTTATAATCTTGTAGGTCTTGGCGAAGGGCGCCTTTATAAGCTGATTGATCGTCGATTTATTATAGTTGTTGTTGTTGTACATAGTAGTAGTAGTAGTAATAGATTGTTCAGAAATTAATTTTGTTTGTTGGTGAAGTTGGAGGGAGGCGTAACACCCGTTTGTTTATTTTATATAAATTTTATTTTTTGGTTTCGTCAATTTCAATTAAAGTTTTGTAGCATTTGACGATTTTTTGAAAATAAATGCAAACAAATAAGAAAAGAAGATAAAAAGAAGGCATTGTACAAAATACATAGATATATAGTATATATAAATATATGTATATATAAAGTTGATATGTATGTTACAAATTGTTTGGCATAACCTAAAAAGATTTTTGTTGCTTTTCGCTTGAATTAGAATTTTTGCAATATTTGTTTGAATTGAGAGAAAAATTTAAATAGATCAAAAAATTCGAGAGATAACTCAGCATAAAAAGAGCAAATAGTTAAATTATATGGAAACGGAATAGTAGAGTAGATTTTTGATATTTTGTTTCGTTTCTCGCACATATCGGAGATGACAGGAAAGTCGATGGAAAATCTTTGAATACAAATCAAATGGGAATACGAACTTACCTCCCAGGATTCGCGCGTTAGGTCGCTAATCTCCTCACCCTCCTGGCTGCCGCTGCGGCCACTGGCCTTGGTGGTCCATTCGGTATCCTCTTGAATTAACTCAAAACCGCGTGCCTTGATCTGCTCTTCATCGAGCTCACCATACAGGTGTTTCACCCAGGTGTTAATAAAGCGATAGAGCTCATCAACGCTGTTGGGAAAAGGGAATTACTTTCGTTAGCAATCGTATTACTTGGGGCTTAGAATAATTAAAGCTATCTCGGCCAATTAAGAGTACATCTTGGGAGTATTTATCGTATTGTTATATTTTAAAATCTATTTATTCCTCATTCTAAGACTTCAAAAGCATTCCTTGGAACACATAGTGGGAGTAGTTATCAACTTATATAAATCTCAGACTAACCCACAGCTATTGCAATATCTACTAATAGAACCAGCTCTTTAAACAGAATAAGATTTTCAATTTTCATAGGAATAGGAATCTGTATTATTCTTTTATCAATACATATATGGTGGAGCGTATTTTGTAATCTATATTCATTTTGAAGTTATCAAAGCGAAGAAAGACCATAGCAACTGCTCTTGAAGATTAGAAAAGACTACACTTATCAGCTCTACAAAAACTAATCTTCTATTCACATTGACTTGATTATTCTACTTGTTTTGTGAAGGTCTTTCAATAGTCTTACGTTAATTTTATAGAATTAGCGCTTTGATGCGCTCTTTTTCTAAGCTTTAAATTATATTTCAATCCAGTCCGAGTTGCAATCCATACGTCGATGCCTTTTGAAACTATTCGATATGTTTAGTAATAGGTGTACCGATTAATAGCAATGATTATACGTTGACCATCCGTTGGATTTCTATGCGTCAGATGTCTTTGCGTCAGATGTCAAATGTCTATGCTTTAGAAGTCTATTCATCAGATTTCTACGCATTAGATATCTATTTGTGAAATGTCTGCTCGTCAAATATTTACAAGTCAGCTATGCACGCTTCATTTAACAATTCGTCAAATGCCAACGCGTCAGATATGACCCTGCCAAGATGTTCTTTTAGGTTTGACGCTTCTCGACCTACCGATTTTTGGGCACACTGAACCAATACTCCGCACGCAACTTATTCTTGCCATAGGACATGACAGAGGTTGGTAGCGGTATTGCCTTGCCAATGGGTTTTCCCATGCGCAGGCGCAAATACAATGGTGGGTCAAGACAGGCGCGTGCTGGACGTGGTATGAGTTCTGCGAAAGCAAAAACAATTCGATTAGTTTCGTTTTGAAAATATACTGTTTTATAATTTCCACTTACTGTCCACACTGATAAATAGTTCCGGTTTATCATCCATCGATACCATGGAGCGATAGTCCAGCTTGGGCTGCTGCTTCGCCTCCTTGAGTTTGGTGCTGGACGATGTGCCCTCCGACGAATGTGGGCGTATGAAAGTGCCAATTGAGGAACGTCTGTTGGGGAATTCCAAGGGAAGCGTTAGTTAAGAGAACATTTAATGGTAAAGTATGCCAATAGAACGGGCATATGATGAAATGTGCTTCTTAGCTTAAAGATGATGTGGAAGATGTGTGTACAATTTTAGATGATGATGCTTGATGCTAGAAATGTACAGGGGCGCACTGACAAACTCAAGTTAAGAGAGAAATGATCATTAAATAAAACAAAATGGAGTGCTTTGGCAGACACTCAACTAAATTGCTGGAGAGATTTTTTAACAGCGATGTTGATAATCAAGAGTTGCAAGGAGGGAAACAATCAATCAATCAATCACAACAATCAATCTACATCAACAACACACAACACTAGCCGCCTGTCCTTCTTACCCATAGGTCATGTGACCCTCGGAATGTGTCGAGTGCGGAGTCAAGGGCGGCACTGGTGAGCCACCAGAGTCTTCGGACGGTGTTTTCGAAAATAGATTGCCGCCCAGCTCTGAGACCAGAGTGATGGGCGAGCTATATATATGTAAGTATATTGATTGCATCGGTGTATTTGTATAGAGAATTGGAATAGTTTGTGTGTGTGTGTGCGTGTTAATAATTTGTGTGTGTTTGGTGGCGGTGTTATGGGTTTAAAGTAAAAGAACATGTTTGCACAAAAAAGCAGCCGATCCGCATTAAACGAAGCATTTTGGTTTCGAGTAAAAAAAATATATAAACAAATTTGTGAGACCAATTAGGTATTATATTATTTGGACCCTCTTGTGGTCACAATACGCACCTTGAGAATACTTTCGAAAATACGCTTTGATTGGAATCACCCGTATTGGGCGCCGAATCTGTGTCCGCTGACTTGTTGAGGCTACCAGTGCCGGGAGGCGTGGCTGTGCCCGCCGTCCCATCGCCTGTAAGACCCTCCACCCAAGTTAAGGGATATGATAGACGTTTCAGCATCTGAAATTACAATAATTGCCATTAAAAATACGATTCAAACTTTTAAGGAAGGTAAAAATGGGTTCTTAATTTATGGACTCAGGTTGTTCTAGTAATTGTTCATATGGGAGGTCTACAAAATAATGTGGCTATACATGATTGGCAACAAACTTGATTTGCATATGAAGAAGATACGTCGATATGCCAAGTTTTGAGTCCGTAACCGTTGTGGTTCAAAAGAAATCGACGTTCATACAGACAGACAGCTGGACTTTTGGAACCTTTTTTACTATTTCAGCTGTAGGGTACAGGGAATAAAAAAATAGTGTAGATAGTAAAAGGTACAATTCACTGAACTTCCCGTGTTCCCGTAGAAGTGTAAAAAAAGTACTCAAGCATTATTCGGGAGTTCGTTCAATAAAGGGTTTAAGCTGCTTTGTATTTCCTCTGGTACATAGAATATTCTTTTTCCATGTCTGGTTTACTTTTCAATTGTACTCACCTTATTTTTCTTCTCCGTCTGCTTATCGCTGGTCTGAGCAGCTGCCGCTGCCTGTGCCTGCTGTGCTGCCTCATCGTCGACGCTAAAGCTCACACTGGAGGTCTTTTTGCGAGCACCGCCGGTGCCGGCATCAAGGCTCTGGCCGAGAATGGTGCTGCGTGGCGGCGACTCACTGAAATGCGTCGGTACAATGGTTTTCGGTGGTACCCAATCGGAGCTGAGCACAATATCGGCATCACTGTAAACTGTTTTCTTTGGTATGGGCTGTATGTTGGGTATGGGTTCGCGTATATCAATGCCTGAATCGTAGCACGATTGCTTCGACAATTGCTCCAAGTGTTCGAGGTCTATGGCAGCCAGACCGCCAGCAGCAGCCGGCAGCGGCAAAATGCCTGCAGCTCCAATTCCCGCTGCACCCAAGCCAGCTCCAGGGACAGGGCCAAGTCCAATGCCGCCGCTCATCGAGCTGGTGGCCGAGTGTGGTTCTTGGGTGCCGCGTGCGCCACTATCAATGGTTGTATTGGATTCATTGTCGGCCTCGTCTTCCGATGATCTTCGGGAATTAGACAAATAATAGCTGAGTATATTGCGATATTCGTGTGTGTGTTTTTTGCGTGTGCGAGTGTTTGATGTGTGAGCGTGTGTGTGATCGTTTGTGAGAGATAATGCGACGTTGTACGAATAAACACAAATTGATTTGAATGGTTTTTATGGTTGAACGTTGCAGTTTGTTCGAGTATATGAAAATAAAAAACACAGAAATATAGAAAACAAAATTGTAATTAATCAAAGTACACGATAAATAAGCAAATAATGGCAGCGATAACTCAGTATACATAGGTTTGGATGGATTTATGGCATTCATCCAAAATGTGGAAAGCACATACCGATCTTTGCTCGGAATCGCCCAATGATGATCCAATAGACTCTTGCGACGCTCCTCCAGAGTGGTGCGCGTATCTGCCAAGCCCAAAGTTTTCTTATCATCTTCTTCCTGCGAAGTAGAACCATCAGTCTTTGCACTATCTTTGGCTTCCGTAGATTTATCGTCCTGCAAATCAAATCAATTGCAATTAAAAGAAACTGATAAAGTATTTATTGGTTAGCTGCTGACGCACCTCAACACGTTCGCGCTCAAAGGCCTTGGGAAAGGCATCACCATCGCGTCCAGTGCTCGAGCAGAGCGACTCCTGATCATCGCCTATCTCCAGCGAACCTATTTCGGCTAAAATTCGGATACGAATTAAATTAATTAAAATTTGACTTAAAGTCAATTTTGAACTCACCCTCCAAGCGTTGCTTGCTGCCCTCCTCATCCTGTGGCTGATCGCCCTCCTTCGAGTCTTCCTCCACTAATACTGGTTTAGGATAATAGATTTCTGGCTTTTCCGTTTCGATGCTGCCGGCAGCAACGCTCGGTCCGGCGCCCCCAGCCACACGCATATGTGCGATATCATGGAATATGGCCGCATTCACCACCAAATCCATCGGCGCTATAACACCATAGCTCTCCGGTCCGTGCTCAATCACCAGCGGATCACTGACATTCGGATCGAACATTACGGCATTGGGCGTGACGAGCAAGACTCCGCCCACAACGCCTTGGCCATCGGTAATGTGACGCACATTGATTTTGAGAAAGCGTTGTGTGATGACCGGATCATCGCTTTTGGCCACATCCTCCTCAGCTTTGTCGCCGCTGCCACTACCGCCGATGCGTTCAATGTGTCCGGGTTTGGGAGAACCGGGTCGTAGACCCTCGAGTATATCTGCAAGTGATAAATTAACATTGTTAGTGAAACAGGTGATATTTATCTATTGACCGACTTCAACTACAAAATGTGGGATCAAGGCGTCGCGACAATGTTTGCGAAACGGACAGCTGGCCGATAAGATAGGGTAAGAATGGCGAAATTGATTTATAGCGAAACGCCGAAAACAGGGCTTATGGAAGAGAGCCAGAGCATTGATTTCGGAGCGTAAGCAAAAGAACAACAATAACAACAATGCGCACTCAAGGCTGCACTCCAGATGACAAGGCAATTAACACCTCCCCCTTTGTCAAATGTAACAAAGAACTGGACACCAATGTATATACCTATTATATACAATATATTTGTTTTAGTGATAATAACCTCCATTGCGCCAGAAAACAGCCGTGTGCATGCTGTTTGTTGAGGCCTTAAGTACGTGCCGCCTGCCTGTTTATTAAATACGCTCTACACTTTGCAACACTTTTGTGGCTAAACACGCGCGTTTTAGTCAACTGTTAATGGTTAAATGCGTGTAAAAGGCAGCAAGGCACGTTATTGTATGCTAATTAGAACTGTAAATGCGATTCTTAAATTATGAAATAATAAAACACGCTTTGTAGTGCCTGCAGCGAGCGGTGTTGTGGGTGAACGAAGAAGCGAGTTTTAATTGCAAAACAAACGTCATCGTACAGCTGTTTTCAATATTACGCAGTGTTGTGGAATACACCACACGGCCGTCAGTGTTGCCACATGGCCTGTTGATGAACACACAAAAAAAAAACAGCTGTGCAGCGCAAAGATGGCGCTTTTTTCAAATGCAATGCCTAAGAAACGAAAGTTTTTGCAAAGCCAAAAAGCAAAGAAAAAGACAAAATTTTTAACACAAACTCAATGCTTAATTAGCGTAAAATTTGCTTCATATCTCGCACCAATTGCACCATTTCCAGTTGTAGGAGCTGATGTTGTTTGCGCTTACCTTTCTCTTCCCTGGTCTCATCATTTGACAATTTCCTTTCAATGGGACTGGACTTGCCGGAGACGCTCCCGCCACCGCCACCCTTCTCATCGCCTGTGCCCGTCGAGGAGCTGGTCGAGGCATCATCTTTGGCACTCTTATCGGGCACCAGCAATTGCTGGCCCGGATATATGAAGGAGCTGTTCAAGCGATTCAGATGCGTTAGCTCCGAAGGAGTTGTATCGAAGCGGGCCGCAACCGATGTGAGTGTGTCGCGATTGCCCACGGTATAGGAAATGGTGGGTATGGTGGGCAATGAAGACTTTTGCTCTGCGATGAAACGAAACAAACAATAAATTAGAAAGAAATAAATATTAATAACAATAGCAACAAATTGTTTAATTTTTAGTACTTTTGCGTGGCGCCGGCAACTTCGGCTGTTGTTCGAATTCAATGAACTGTTTATCGGACCGCAGCCGTGACGTCAGTGGACTACAATCCTGTTCGCGGCACAAATAAAAAACAATAAATTCACGAAAAGTCGAGGACATTGCCTCATTTGAGCGCCAATAGATTTCCACACGTTCTAACATAATTCTTGTTGTTCTCTTCATATATTTTCCTACGCCAACAAATATACATATACATATGTATCTATACATAAAATGCTTCAAGTCTGCAGCCGCTCGCGCGTGATTCTAATCTGCAACTGCAATTCTTCAGAATTATTTTCTTTAGCTCAGCATTAGTGTTTCTTTTTTCCTTCGTTCCTTGACGATTTCATCGCGTTTGTTTTATAACGAAGGAGCAGCAATAAGAACAAGAATTTGATAGGAAAGCAAAAAAAAAACAGCTGAGCCGGCAAAGTAGCAAGGCAGGAAAATATTATTCACTGTTTTGTGTGGCGAGAATACTGTATGCTTGTGTCTGTATGTTTGTACTTGTAGTTTGAAATGATAAACAATTGGAAAGCTTATAAGTGTTTGTCGAAGTTGTAATACACTTCTTTCCATTGGAACATTTAAATTTCTGCCGTTCAAATTATTCTAAGCAGTGAACTTTGATTAGAACTGAGACGAACGTTAGGGTGACACTGTTAACTTACTGGTCCTTATACACTGCTAAAGAACTACATAAATATAACGAAATTTTGTTTAGCCAGTGTTGCCCATTCTTTAGGTTTCATAAAAGCTAGAATTAGTTAAATTAATAAATACACAATGAATATGCTAAGTGGCGTCAAAATTTATAAAATCTTCCTTTAGCCCTAAACACCCCTTGATTAATGTTGAAAAGAGAAGAAAAATTGTTTGTTTTGACAAAGAGGATATAATTTCTCTGTATCGGCTACAGTCTGACTTGTATTTTGTAAATTATCTCTAAAATGCATATACATATAACCACCTATCTTTATCTTTATGGTATTTAAGCCCAGTTATGTAATTTTGATAACGCTATACGCGCTGTAACTTTAGTAGACACAAAGAAATAAGGTAACCTTGGGAACACAAAATGTTGATTATTGCATTTTTTGATTTAAGTAGTCCGATATATCTGTATCTCACATACTACATATATGTGTGTATTGAAACAACTTAATTGGTATAACCACTTTAGAAAGGGTAGCTATACAAGTTTTTACTCTTTTCCGTAGTGCTTATCTTGCAAGAAATGTAGCTATTTATTTATAGTCCTTTTTTTTTATCAATGTAATTATTAATTATGTTGGTCAGTATTTTAAAAAGACCAATGCTTGTTTATAAGTTATTTACACTAATTGATAACAATTGTGGGCTTCTAAATTCACATCTTGAAATCTTTATATTAATTAATAGTAACAATGAGAATAAATTTTTATATAACTATTCTTTAACTATTTATATAATAATACATATTTTAAACATTTGAAAAAGTATAAGTGAAAATTCCAAACAATTTAATTCATCCCTTGTTAAGCACTCGGCGTTGACGGCGCTGCCATACAATTAAAAATTGCACAGCGGTAAGTGTACCCGAGCACGAACACATGACCCATACTAACTAACTGTAGCGCCGTTGTGGCGCTCAAAAGTAAATTGCGCGCGCAATTCGAATTTGCAAAGCAAAACAATTGTTATTTTGCTTTGCAGCAAAACAGAAACGTATTAAATAAATGGTGTTAATTATTGAAGCTACTCACTTGACAATTTGTCGACACTTTCGAAGCGCTGCTCAACTTTTGAACGCAATGAATCCAAATCAAATGGCGCCGCAAGGCCATGATCGACGCTTCGCGATTTGCTCCTGAAAAATGAATATAGAAAATAGTATAAATAAGTAAGTAATTGTTGTTGAGAGATAACAAAATATTGATGAATTGCGATTCGTATCGTTTACAAATTTGAACAGCTGCAATTGTGACCAAAACTAGTTAGTTAATAACAATTTATTTGTGTGTTATCGCCGATCGCCGATCACCGATCTCCGATCGCTGACCATAAAAGGTCAACACCGTTGTCTCTGCTATTTTAAACGTTTTTTAATCGTTTTTATTGCTTAACCTTAAAATGTTTGTTCATTTTTTTTCCGTCAATGTTGGCGGCGCGCTTTTTAGAATTTACAATTTTTTGTACTACAAGTATATTTATAGAACGCAGCACGTCTTGACTTTGACATCTCCGAACATTTTCCGAGTTGACTTTGAAATGGGCGCTATGGAGGAATACTCGCGCGAACCCTGCCCCTTTCGCATTGTGGAGGACTGTGGTGGTGCCTTTGCGATGGGCTCTGCGGGTGGTGCTGCCTTTCAGGCCATCAAGGGATTCCGTAATGCGCCGTCCGGACTGGACCGCCGTTTTTTGGGCAGCCTGGCCGCCATTCGGGCCCGCTCTGCCTCGATTGGGGGCAACTTTGCGTTGTGGGGCGCCACCTTTAGTGCGATGGACTGCTCCCTCGTCTATTATCGCGGCAAGGAGGATCCGTGGAATTCGATTATTAGTGGCGCATTAACCGGCGGCGTTTTGGCCGCGCGTGGCGGTAAGTTGGCCAATACTTGGCCCGTATGGGCCATAAATAATAAAAGCTGTTGGGTTTACACGCATTATAGGCATGACCTCCATGCTAAGCAGCGCTCTGGTGGGTGGCGTGCTGCTGGCTTTGATCGAAGGCGCTGGCATTGCGATGGCACGTTTCTCCGCCGATTCCTATCGGCCGGTAATGATTGTGGATCGCAATGAGAGTTACAAACAGCAGCACAACAAGCTCTATAATGGCGAGCCGACGGTTGAGGTTTGGCTTTCTATTTCTATCAAACCCTGTGCTCAGCTACATTTCTAACTTATTTTTTTTAGACCAACTCCATACCCGCCTAACGGCGTCTATGACGCATTTATTCAATCAGATTCTGCCACACTATATACATAGAAGAAGAAGAAGAAGAAAACATACAAACAAGAACATCATCATCTGCATACAAAACACAATTCTACACTTTGTATCAAATTTGATTCGCAATTGCGCGCCTCCAAAAAAGGGGCGGGCGGCAAGCGTTCATAAATGTAAGAATTTCAATTTGAATTAAATATTCAATTGCAGTACGCATTGAAATGTTTTGTTTTTGTAGATTCTTTTTTAGTTTTGCGCCCGCGCCTGGTTCAGAATCTTGATATCCAGCCACAGAGACAGAGAGACAGAGAATTGGCTGCGCGTGTGCTTCCTAGAGCCAAATTGGTAATAGAGCCACAGTCCGTGTCTGTGGCGAATGGCTCTATAAAAAAAAAGTTGGCACGCATTCAGTTTTGTGTTGATTCAACTGCCGGTTTTGATTTATGGACAAAGGTTAAGAACCAATCGCGACGTGTTCGCCAAGGAATGCAATGAGCTTAGAATTTATATTGCACGACCAGGGCTTATATGGGAAACGCCTAGATATCGGAACTAATACGCCATTTTGGTGCGAAATACTGTATTTCCTCAAGCCCCAGCAGTTAGTTTAAAGTTTGAAGCTTAGAGTAGCAAAGCGGCGTTTGACTTCAAATTTATTTGTTTTTGAGAAACTTGACATATTATTGATATGACAAATTTATTTAGTTAAAAATTTTACCTTTTTATGAAGTTTATTTTGGATTATTAATAAGGTTTTCACCAAATTATTAATTTTATATTCATATACTGATAGATTTAATGTTATTTTAATTGTAATTTGTTTTTCTATTTTTGAAAGTTTAAAATAAAGTTGAATATTTAAGTATTGTTACTAATTCAGTGTCTTTGTGTGAATTCTTCAAAAATCAGCCAACATTTTTGTTGAAATTATTGGAAACGAACTGAATGTCTTTGGGAATGCACAAGTCTCTTAATCAATAATCTAATTGATTATACGTATTCGCCGTCTTCAGCTCGAATATCGGGGAGCAGGAAGTCGGCTCTTGTTGGAAGATAATGCGCAATCTCAACCGTTTGATGATTGTGATTTGCGAATGATTTTTGACTGAAAACCAAACATTCGCCTGTTTTGGCTTTACGACTACTATTATTTTATTCGGAAAATTAAATAAAAAAAAAAATTTTAAAAGTAGGCATTACAAGCACGTCGAAGCCATTCAAAACGAAGGAAGCGCATTTCCGAGCCCATTAAGTACTTATAATATCAATCAGCAATGCGAGAAAATTAGACTCATCCGCCAAGCTGTCTGTCTGTATGAACGCCTGGTTTGGGGAAATGTCACATCCTATACCGATCAGACTTGATATGTAGGCTGTTCTAGTAACTAGGCAATACGAGTTTATTTTCCTCGTTTCTGAATTTTGACATAACCTTCAATAATTCCATAACTACATAAATAACACCTCGATTCGATTCGATTTAAATCCTTTCCTTTGAAACTAATTTTACTTAGGTACTAACATCTTTTTTTGGGTATTCACGGGTTTGCTTGACTGTAAAATTCTTTATTGTTTTTTTAAAGGCCCGTTTAACTGTAATATATAAGTATGTAATTGTTTAGTAAGCCAAGCTTTTCTTTACTTTATAAAATAAATTATGTTGCATATATTTAGTTTATTTCCTTTTATTTATCTATAACAAATATTAAAGCCTCGCGTTTATAGGCTTTGAGTAACATGCATTGCCCGCTTAAAGCCACAAATGTATCTTGAAGATGCAAGTGCGTTTGTATCCTGTGACCATGTCACTTCTTCACGTTTGCACGCTGCTTCGCTGTCAGTGTGTTGACATAAGTAAGGAAGGAACATAAGTGACAAGGTCTTTAAATATATAGTATATATAGGTATATATAAGTGTGTGTGTGTGTTTGTGAAAGAGTGGCTGCCTGTCGCCAGGCGAATACGTAACTTTCCATTACAATTTCTTTCCCTATTTCTGTGGCTTATAAATTTTGATTGACAAAATTAATTTCCGCTGCCAATGCATAAACTGAAAACTAAACACCGAGCAGTGTATTTCACTGTCGTTGAATGACAGTTGTTGGTTGATTCGTTCGCTCGTAGATTCGTGGGTTCGATTGTAATGTTTTTAAGTAACAATATTTGTATATGGGGAGAACAGACAAATGTATTCCTGATAGCAGCCCCAGATCATATCGCTTAGTTGCCTGTTCAGCCTCTTAGAAATTACAAATTGAACTTGATTTGCAGATACTTTTTGTGATTCCACAAGTGTTGGGAGCAATAAACCGAATCAAGGCCAAATATCTGTCAAAGTGAGTTCGAAATCGGGCTTACAAAGCTAATCAATAGTTAAGTAAATGGCATTGTTTTCGAATGCAAATAAATGCATTTTTAAGAACGGACACAATTTGTATCCATAAGATGCTCGTATAGTAAACACTGAGATATGAATACTCATAGGTCATATGAGATTTATAAGAGCCTTAAAGCCATCTTGCATCTTTGAGATACACTCTAAGCTGCAACATATGCCTTTAATAGTGTATCCACGTATTTGCAACAACTCTATATCTTTAAGACAATTGCGCACCGTAAAGATACTATTGTATTTGTAAGCTACATTTGTATCTATGAGAATCAAATTTTATGAATTCAGTTCCTATATTTTGTACATCCATATCTGTCATATCTATATTGATTTTTGCACCGAAAAGATGCTATTTGAAAATCTTTTTGTCTACCTATAAGAATAATTTTTATAAACTCTCTATATATATTTGCATTTACATATACATATCTCTCCAATATATCGGATACGGTCGGTTTTCATAAATACTTATCTATAATATGCATCTTCATGTGGTTCATAAATTGTTTATAAATGTGGTTCTTTTATAATTATTTGAGTCCTAAAGAAATAGTTGTATTCAACAGATACTTTTGTATTTATGTATCTTTGCGAATTTTTTGTGTTTCTAATACGTAAATCTTTGGTATCCAAAAACGTTGTATCTTAAAGGTACACGTTTATTTGCAATATGCATCATTATGTGTTAGGTTCATTTTTAATACATTTATGATAAATTTTGTATTCATAAGATACTTTCGTATTTATGATATAATTTTGCATGCATGAGATACTTTTGTATATATTAGATAATACATTAGACTCTTTTTTATTATTTTTATCTAATTATATAGTTTTGAATCCTAAAAATAATGTTATATTCACAAGATACTTTTACATTTGCGAGATACTTTTGCATTCAGGCGATACTTTTGTGTATATTAGATACTGTTGTAGCTTTGCTTTTGTAAATAGAATTTATAACATTTGATTTGGGAGATATTGTTGTAATATATGTATCTTACCTTAAATCTGAGAGTATCTGAGAGTTTATTTGTATCTTGTATATAAAAATCTAAGGAATTTATAATTCCTAATACTATTTCTATATGGAAGATAGTTTCTTTCCATTGCCCTTTTCTAGCCATAAATGCTCTAATTATTTCTCTCTCCTGTTTGTTTCCCTTAAGCTATTTTGCATATCATTTATTATTTATGTTAAATTTAAAATTTTCCTATGCCTATCAGCTAAAGGCAAATAGTGATAACCCCAATTGAATATCAATGAAAACATTTTTTTGTTATGCTTTAATTGTTTTATTTTCACACACACACACACACATACGTGGGCAGCAGCTGAACATGTTGTTGTTTTGTTTGATTTGGCGAAGATAAATAATAAATAAATATTTGTTGCAATATTTTCATTTCGTGAATTTCTTACTTATCGCAGTTTTATTTGCGCTTTTCGAATTATGATTGCACAGCTGGAATAATTGAACAAATTCTGTGGCCTTTGTCTGCACATTTCAGCAACTTGGAAAAAAAACATTGAACAATAGCAAAGCTCGGCATAGATATTTATCAACTGTGTTTGATTTGCCAGGCAGAAAACAATTTAAAATTATTATTTATCGCATTAAACTTTGTCGAAGGCTCGCATTCAATTTACACAGTTGCTCACATTTAATTAATTTCTAGAGAAATGCTGTTTTTCCTCCGCCAACCCATTTCATGTGATCGCCCCTGTGTGCGTCCTGTTTGTGCGTGTGCCAAATAAAAATATTAAATAAAAATTAAAATTATTTACCCAATGCATACCAGTCTGCTGACAAGTTGAGCAAAGTTTTGAAGAACTGTCAAGTCGGCGATGAAAACATTATTTTATTGAAGAGTTGCAGACAACATTGAGTACTGAAGTGCTGGGGAGCTAAGATATTGGCAGGAAATTCAAGAAAAAATAAAGCTAAATAGTTTTGCAATAAGTACAATATGTTTGAAATTTTATTATTTTTGAATGCTAATTGAAGAATTGAGCACTTTCTATAGTTTTGTAGAAGGGAAAAGGTGAGTGTAAGACTGCCCTTTTTTTCTCAACTGAATATTTATAACAAATTCAACATTTTTAGATTTAGATTTTCAGGCGGGAGTTGAGATATCGAAAGGGAATTCGAGAAAAAGATAGTCCTTTTCTTAGAACAGCGATCACTCTTCGTAGCGAAACACTTATAGTATTGAGTTCTGCACAGTGCTCGTCAATAGGTTCTTCCGACTCTAAAAGTTTTATATTCTTCAAACTGTCTATTAAAAAATGTATAATAATTTTAAAATGTATATTCAAGAAAACAGGCCTTTCGTAAAAAAAGCCCTTTTCCGTAGGAAAGAGATTTATTTCCGTTGCTAATTAGTTGTAGTTTTAAGTTAAGCACTGATCTTCTCAATAGGTTCTTTAGACTCTGAAAGTTTTATTTTCTTCAAACTGTCTAAGAGTGTTATTATTTTTGTCATACTATTAAAGAATGATTTTTAATTTAATATTGAAGAAGAGAGCCATTTACGTAGCTATATATTTGTAGTTGAATAGGTTTCATTGTATTCTGAACGTTTTATTTTCCTCAGACTGGTAGAAAGTTTCAAAGAGTGAGAATCCTTTTCAAAAAAGATGATAGGTTGCTTAAAATATTTATATTATTTTGATTAAAATAAGCTGCCTTTAAGGGGAAAACTATCATTAAAGACGAAATTCCAATTAATATAATCATAGAGGCATATAGTTAAACGATTTTTAATTAAGAGGAATATAACATATCTATAAAAAGAGAAAACATCCTTTTGGCTCTTAATTTGAGTGAATTTGCCTTACACCAGAAATATATAATTGAGTAGAGACTAAATGATGTCTTAATTTATTTCTGGAAATGCGTATTTCAAACACAGCTATAGATTTAAGAAATATGTCCAAAACGTTAAAGTATTTAATTGAAACTTTCTTATTTTATAGAACTAGCAAAGACTGTTTCCTTTTTCTTTAAATTTGGAGCCAAGAACTTTCTGGCTACGGCTTTTTGAAACTAGCTGAGACTGTTTCTTGTTAAATGCTTCTAGCTCTTATTTTAACCTGCTATTTTAATTACATTGCTTGAATGTGGCTTTATCGCCTTTCCATTTACTTTAGTTCAAATGAAGTGGCTGTACTTTTTTTTACGTTCGTCATGACCTCACGTGTGGCTCGGCTCTATTTTGATATAACTCATAACTTGTTACTTGTCTGCAGACATTGCGCCAACACTAGTCTTTTTTTAGCCTAATTATTTATCTACGACTATGTATCTTCCCCCAACCGAACACTATTAAGCCAGTTGTCGACTGTTCATTTATATTTCCGTAATCAATGCCCACCATTGAGTAACTTTAGTCACGCCGCCCACATTAACCTTATTGTTAACACAATGATGATGCACTGAAACGAAAATTGTTTGCAATCCCATTGGTTGTGCCAAATAAATAAGCCATTGATTTCATAGTCAAGGGAAAAATTATGGCAAAAGTTCAATTGGCCATTCAAATGAATTAAGTGCAATATAAAATAAACTCAATGGCAACTCGTAAATGGCTGCGAGACAATTAAAATTGTTCACCATTTGATGATATTAGTGTTTGTTGCTCTTTTTCTTTTTTCTTTACCTTTTTTTTTTGGTAACTCGGTAGTGTATACTCGAGTATGTACGGGCACTACGAACATGTGTTGCACTTCAAACTGAGTTTTATCTTATCAAAAAAATATAGGAAGGGGGGAGGATGGGGAAAAAAAAAAATTAAAATCGACGATTGGAAATGCCAGCAACTGTTTAGTGTACTGTTTCTTTTTCGATATTTCGGCCCTGAGGTGGTCGGCACGCTGCGTAACAACAACAACAGCAACAGCCATAATGATGACGACGGCAACGAGGTGTTAAGCCTTTTACGTTTGTAATGCTGACAAGTGGCGGCCAAATCGAACAAATAACTCGAACGGGGTACGGTAGCCTGACACCATTCGAAATGTTGCAGCCACACAAAGGCCTAACGATTCTCATTGTTGTTGTTATTGTTGTTGCAGTTGTCTTTGAAGTGCAGAGATGGACATCATTGGGTGGCAAGCAAGTGACTCACTACTCGTACTTATTGATGTTGTGTAGCAACAAAAATCAGATAATGCCAGCCATTAATTGTTGACTTCTTAATGCAATTGTGAAATTGATAATGCGAATTATAATATAGACAAGCCCATGCATATGACTCAGTTTGTTTTGTCTTTTCGCTCAGTTTGTTCAACTTGTATTTGTTTTTCACTGAAAATTGGGTAAACATGGAATTTTTGGATCAGCTCTGCGCCGTAAGAATTTAATAGAGAATTGCAAACAGTTTCCTCGATTATTTGTTTCAAGTCAAAATTGCTCTCTTTTTGATATACATTTTCGAAAAAATGAAGGAAAAACAAATATGCTATTATTTTTTATTTGTATAGTTCTTCGAAGTTTTTTTCCCCTTCATTCAATCAAATTAGTTTGAAAAGAAAAACAAACAAAACATTTTGATGATGTTATCCGGCAATTGATTTGAAACTATTTCTTCTAATTTTTTCACATTTCAATAGTTCTTTTCTCCTTATTTCTTATTGCAAAAGGCTTGAAATTCTTTTGAAAATATTGAAACTTTATTGAACTTTATTGAAACATTATTTTAAATATTGCCTCAAAATTTGATAAAATTCGGTTAAGCGGTTTCGGGGTCTATAGGGAACATAGGTATATACAAACATACATACAAATTTTTACTATAGATAGCTTGGAGTTTCAAAACTCAAATTCGATGTCACTCTATTCTACATAATTCATTTCGAGGTGCATTTTTCAGATAGCTTTCGTTTTTCCGATATCTCTCATTCAATTAAAAAAAATCTATCAATTTGTCTTTTGCTTTTATCTTTGGCATTTAAAATGTGTGGTTATTGCTTAATTACTAATAATACTTTGCTTTTGATTGTTTCTCAAGAAATATTTATATAATTAGCTGCTCTACCTGGAACTCCGCTTAAGTTTTAAGGTTGTTGGAAATACTGTTCTCCACCTAAGACCTCTTCGATTACTATTCCTAGTATTGCCACTTATTGCTACGAAAAAGCACTTAGCCCTTAGCATTTTAAAGATAGTAGATGGCATTATTAGTGCGATATTTGGAAATGGGTTTATTTTTCACCATGTGGCGACTTTTGAGCTCACGAAGTCTTAATCAGTAGTCCACTTCAAAGAGCATTTTGCCAAAGTCTGCTTCTTGATTCTTTAATTTTGTGCCTCTAGAGACCGGGCCTATCAATTATATATCAATGTTTATTAACACCTATTTAGCGTTCGCTGATTGTTGTTATAGCTTATCAGTTTCATTAATAAGTTGACATCGCCCATTAAGATTATCTATCTTCTAGTATTTGCGATTATGTGTGTGAGTATACATACACAGAAGAAGAAGTGTGCGCGGCTTTAAATCAAAAATGTTCGTATTCACATTTTTTCTGTTCGTATAATTTATGATGTCGGTTTAATTTTAAAGACGGCTGTAAATTATGTTTGTTATGGTTTCTTTTTGTTTATATTCATTTATTTATTTATTTACTTTTTGTTTGTGTTAACAAACTGGGTTTGGAGGTCAAACTAGTTTTGGTCAACAAATTGTCAGCTGGAAAAAAATGCATTTTTAAAATATATATCCATATGTACTCGTATGTATATAGTATGTGGATGGTGATTGTATTAAAAATGTGTATGCAAATATTGCAGAGTATTGACATGCTTTAGCTGATTTTCAGTACAATATATAAGCACTTCTATAGCTATGTATATCGGAACATATAGGTGTATATATATGCCAGGCAGCGTGCAGAGGCTTGCAACGTATTTACATAACAATGGGTGCAGTTAAATATCTGAATAGATCTAGTTAGCATTGTTGTTTATATACATATATGCATGGTTTATGTTAGTTATTGTTGTGAGTTGTTGTTGTTGTGTTAATGCACTTACCTGCGCACGGGTATCGCCAAATTGTCAACGCTGCGTGACAAACTGGAAACATCTTGACTAGCCCTACGTGACCTGGCACGTTATAAAAATAATAACAGCACACAAGGAGCACAAAAGAGATGAAAAATAAATACAGAAAATAAAAATAAATAAGGGGGAAAATAACAAAAGTCAAGAAAACAAAATAAAAACCAATTCAAGTATTTAGTCCAACAAACGCCAATTAACGGAATGCACACGTAGGACTGGCCTTTAGAGAGAGGAGCGGAGCAGCCAACTAAAGACTTACATTGCTGCTAGCTGAGGAAGTTATTTAGATGTGTATAGCTATATAATATACTATATATGTATACTATATACTTATCTATATACACACATTGCATATCTGTATGTATATATTTAAATTTTTAGAGTCTAGCGCCAACTTTTTCAAGCTAGACCTACAAAAAGTCACGTTCGAAATTTAGTTTTATTTCGGAAAACTGATATCGGCACATACGAATATATATAGTTGCTTATACATGTATCTTAGATATCTTTTAACAGTTTAATTCCCGAATGCTTGTGGGTATACAATTTTTCTTCATTTTGGAACGATTTCGACGGACAATCGATTTGGTAATTGCAATCTTTTGAATTGAGAGAGCATATCGATCGAGATCAAGGGATTTAGACGGATGTGTCCTTCCAAGATTGCTCCTTACACAGAGTTGCTTATCATTTGTTTGACCGAGAGATTTTTTTAACAAATCGATTTTTTATTTTTAATATGTGAGCTGGCAACTCTGATAGATCCACCTTGACAGATCAAAACAATCGTTGGATTACATTATCCACCAACTTATGAGCTTTGAATTCTGGATTTAATAAGACTGTTAAGTTGGTAGACACTTCCAATAAGGATACTCAGCCAATTGTGAATACTATAATTCATTTGTATATTAGGAAATACTCTTTCGATCAATTCCTTCATCGAACTCACGAAATTGCAAAAATTAAAAGTTTTTTAAATTCTTCTTAATGAGTTCCTCTTGAGTTTATATGTAAATATTTTAATGCAGTGAACAGTCCAACTTCTTTAAATAAAAAGCAATGCCTGCCATTTCTTGAATACTTTTAAAAAAAGAAAAAATCTATATATTTTAAAAACCGCATTCAATCCGATATTAATTTCACTTCATTAACTTCAATCCAAAATGTATTGTTAAACTTAAAACGTTTGCTTTTCAATACAATTTAAACTGAATTTGAGAACTTTATTTCAATTTCCTGATAAAAACAAATTATTCAATCTATGACTACTTTAGTAAAATGCATTACAGTGTTTATGAAAACGAATTCAATAAATTCCATCACGGCCCCTCTTAGCCTCCCATAAAGTGCGCTTTCACTTTCGAACCTCAAGGCCAACGATTTCAACTGGCCAAGGCAAAAGTAAATAATAAACCGAGCAGTGCTAGGCTATATGCCGATATGAATTATATGCCCATGTGGAAATTGTTATTAGAGCATTGCTAATTTGAAAAAAAATATTAAACACCCACGTGGCTTCTGCTGGTCACGCATTTCAGACGCCAAATGGTCTTCGACATCCAATCGTCCAACCATCCAACCACTCGAGGTTCAATAAACGAAACTTTTATCTAAATTGCAGCAATTTTGCACAAAATTAATATTGTTTTTCGTACAAGGTGGTAAGGCGATTAAAGATTTATATGCCTTTGAATAGTGCATAAAATTTGTCGAGTCGGCGAGTGTGTGGGAACGTTTATAGCATCATATACCTTACACATAAATCATACAATTAATATTACTTGTTTGTCTAATCAAAGTAAGTGCAAGTGGCTTTCTAAATATAGCAAAGGAGGGTTTTTCTGATCCATAATAAATACATTTTTATACCTCATGGAGGCAGATTAAAGAGTCTATAAATAAGTAGTTGCATGCAGAGGAAATTTTGCAAAATATATATTACTTCCCTTGTAGCCGTATATGCGTCTAATCTGAAATATTGCAAGTAGCTTTCTATATATAGAAATGGGGGTCAATAATAAAACTATTGGTTAACCATATAGATAAGATTAAACTTGTAGTCTTGTAATAAACACTTTGTTTGCTTAAAAGTTATTACGCTGTCGGAAGTAAGTGTGGCAGGCCCATCAAGTCTATAAGTTTTGGAATCTGTATGAATGTTTGTTTGATTTCTGTTCGACTGTATGAACCACGTTATTCTTTAAAACAGAACAGCTAGAGGCAGTAAACTTGCAGACTCTGCTTATAGATGTTTTTATTTTAGGAGGTATTTCTCGAAAAGAGTGTTTCTAAAATACTACTGAGATCAAAGATATTGCAGCTGATCTTTGAACTTTATAATCATCAAATAACAAATTAATTATTGGCTCGAATCAAGAAAAACAAAGAAATGTTAAAAGAAGAACAACAACTTCAAAATCCAATGGAGAAAAAGAAATTTGTTTTTTATTAACACATTTTTACGAATAATTAACACGCAACCAGAGCGCACGCGTCTCGTTCAAATATTGGACATATCGATTGAATTCAACAAGAAATTAACGCATACTCTTGTAACCGCCCAACCGAGAGAATTGTTTAATAGATATTAATTGAATTCGGCGCGAAGCTCTCACATGTAAATTGTTTTCTTTTTATTTAGATTCGTTCATGAGCCGATTGTTTAACATTGACCCAAAACACACAGACGAGCTTCGACGCCATGACGACAAACAAACAAACAGACAGACGAATGGACGGATGGACGGACGGACAAACAAAGCAATCGCAATCGGTCAGCTGTTTGTTGCGTACGTGAGTCAAAGCATGCCTGGGCAACAATTGTTCGCTCCCTCTACCCTCCTCTATTACTCGCTCTCTCTCCCTCTCTCTGCAGTTGCCGGATGCGTTGCTCAACTTTAACCTGAAGCCGCTCTTCTGAGACCGTAAGACCGCGTGCCACAGAACCGGTTCATTTGTTCTTGGCTCTGGTCTGGATTTTTTGAGCTGTGAGTCAGATGTTAAGCCTTGACTTTAGCTTTGTGAGTTCGTCGATTGTTCTTTTTATGGGCACAAAAATATGTATATGCATGTACGTGTGGCTAACAAAAACAGTGACGTGTTTTATGGACCAGCAGTGTCACGATCATTTCCACTTTTTGTTTCACTTTAGCACACTTAGAGAAGACATCTGTTCTCGGTACTACTATCAGGTTGTGAATTGGCAGTCAGACGTTAATTTGGTTGCAATGACACGAAGCGGGACATTTATTGTCGTCTCATTTGTTAAGCTAATTTGTGGTTTTCGATGTGAGAGAAAATACAAAAACCCAAATGATACCTCTAAGGTGTCAATAAGTATTCGCAAATCGCATTGAGATAGAGATTTTGACAGTAGCTCAATAGCTGTAATAAATACATATGAGCATGGTACGGATTGACAGAGTTGGTCATAAAAATGTATATTATTTGAAAGCCACAAAATATTCATACATAGTATATTTGCCATATAATCGAATTTGAGCAAGTTGAGTTGTTGGTGCATATTTGTGTTCGAAATGGATAAAAGAAATTCCTTTATGTTTCAACAATAATACTGAATAGTAATTTTAAGCAGTTCTGAAGCACTGTGGTGAAGTCTTAACTATTAACTAACAACTATTTACAAATCAAATGCTTTATACTCGCAAGTAGTTCAAGAGTTTAATGACTTTTCAGGAAAACCAAAATAAACTTATTTTGGTACTGAAATATTAGAACACAGCAAGGTTTTTGATTTTTTTTTAATTTATTGAAAAAACCAAATTTAATGTGTTTGTACTCGTAAGTTCCTAACGTGTCTGATGTTAGTTTGTTGCGGCTAGTGTTTTAAAATATTGTACCCTATCGATTTTTGACAATTTTCTAATCGAAAATATTTTCTCAAATAATACTAATTACTTTTTTTGTAAAATTTTGAAGAAATTTCCTGCGAAACACGGAGGAGAATTATGCACATTACTTCGCATTTTGCTCAATTTGTAAAATTTTTGGATTAAAAAAATTGTATTTACAATAAATAATTTGTATAGCAGTCAAGTCCAGTTTGAACAATTTTGGGATTACAAAAATTTTATTTAAAATAAATAAATATAAATAAATTGTATAGCAGTCAAGTCCAAATGTAAAAGCAAAAGTTGTTCCTCTAATATAAAACTGTTTGGAATTTAATTTGATTTTTTTTTAATTTGTAGAAAAGGTTGCTTCTTAATTTCTTACCAGTAATAGTATTGTGTTGTTATTAGAGCGCTTTGCATTTTGCAATGTTGAGAGTAGTTGTTTAAATGTCTGCTAATGTTCTTCACTTTAATTTGTTTCACATGGCAAAGATTTTGGTTACATATTTATGTTCTTAACAGTTTTCTGAAGAATGAAATTGCAAGCCAAAATTAAATAATGCTAATCAATCATACGCCGCGTTAGCCCATCTATAGCGCGACTAACAAGATTGTTGTTGTTAAAGAAGATGAGTTCAGTTATCTATTTATCTGCCTAAAAATTGGCATTCTTTCCCTTTAATACCTCGCTCTGTCAGCTGACTAGATAGATCTATAGTTGGATTGGCCATATACCCGCATATTGACATAATTGGCTTGTCAAGCCGTTTAATGACACTTTCGAGAGCTGAGTTATTGGGGTTATCAGTGGGTGAGGCAGCTGTGGGCGTGGCCTTGACTGGCGCTGTCAATGCTGCTGGGCAGGCAGCATCGTCACGTGCTGCCGCTGATAACCAGCCAGAAGGGCACAAATACATACAAACAAACACACATACAAGTATATGCATATATCTCTAGGTGCTGCCGCAACGCCAGCCAACAGTAGCTTGATTGACAGACCCTGGCGGCACTTTTTTCTTTGATTTTTTGGCGTTGCGGGTTTTAGATTTCGCCAACCAACCCCATGCCACCCCTCGCACTAACACTTGCCTGTGATTTTTTTTTTTTTATACACAGTTAAAACTCAGTTGGTAGAATTTTTTATGCCCAGCAACTGGGCGACGTTTGTTTGCTTAGCTTAGCTTT